TAACTTGGAACCCACACTACGGACGAAGGGCGAAGGTGCAACCTGCATACGTAGGAGCTGCCGATGTCACTCGTTTGGACTTGCAATGTGCGCGCCAGTGAGTTCATGTATGTGCCCTCGCGTCCTCCGACATTCACCATTCGTTTTCCGCTGACATCTATGTGTGTAATGCAGCAAGGCCGCTCCTCTTGACGACGATACTGTTCGCGTCTCCCGAGTCTCTCGTTCATTACTATGCCGAACAACGCTCGCACACGGCGGGCAACGAGCTTGTGACTTGGACGGAAATGTTGAACTTGCAGGACCGGGCGCCACTTACTGTGAATATGCTCTAGCCACCTCAAATGCCAGTATGGCCGTGTGGGCAATGTTGGTCCAGCTCGATATCACAGAACACAATTGAGTTATTCTCTGGGTTAGTAAACACTCCTGTATCCCCTCGTTGTCCTCTCCGTCAACCTATACGACAGAAACTGAGTGGTCCCTGACTCGATCATACTCTCCATAATGTGTCCTAATATCAGTAATTGACGGTCGTGGTATTCCCGCACACGCACGTCGTATGGCCAAGCCACATTCGCAACTACAGCAACTAGCGACTTGGTTAGGTGAGTGGTATTCGGAAGGAACAAGAGTCACATATAGAGACTGAGTTTAGGAACTCAAGAGGCGAGTACTTCTCCTTCCCGACCGCGGCCATCATGTCGTAAGGTGCGCCAATCTTGTTTGTCTTCAACCGACTGTTGCTTTCTCGTGAATGCAATACGTCACGTCCCACCGTGTGTAGTTTCATCTGACTTCAACTAGCTCACATCTTCACCGGCAGGTCTGAGAAGGCGACAAGCTTATTTCTAAACGGCCGGGTGCAAGCACTTGAACATAGTCCGAAACCTACAAACAAAGAGGGCATGCGTGCACTCACCTGCTCTGCCATCGCCTACATCATCTCCAATGTTGGATTCAGCATCTTTGGGCATCTATGTTTTGAACCGCAAATCGCCGTTGATACACATTGATCGCCAGTCTGGATGGCGGCGTCTTTTTTTGCTCATCCCTTTTTTGAATGACCCTTGCTCACGACCACGCCCTGCCTATAGTTTATCTCTTCGCTCAATATGTAAGAGCCCATAGCGCTGCCCGCATCTGATTCTCTTCCACATATTTTCTAGGCAGAATCATTGGTTCAGAAGGCTGCAATTTTCTCCGCGCAGCTGAAACTTGGGGGTGATCAAACCATCTTGCGGAGTAAGACTGAAATCCAGCAGTCTTCGAGCCAATTCGTCCACATACTGAACAACAACAGAGACCTCACATCGCATCGCTCATGGACTCAGATAACGCACGCCTGGCTTTCCATACGTGTACCCAGTTGCAGTGCCTTTTCTTTTCTTCAGATATTGCAATGCACTTTGTGTACTGCCCCAATTTGTTCCTGTCGTCATGCCCAACCGTGGTAGAGTGTCGGTCCGTCAGCGGCTTCCATACATGTCCAGATGGACGCACAGTGCCTTAGTTGAAGACATCGTAATTTATTCCTCACCTCTAGTGGGCAGCACAGATTGGGTTCAGTCCATGCTTGTCTAACATGGTGCACGTCTATATTTTGTTTCTCGTATGATGCCTTCTTCCTCATGGCGTGCACACGAGCGTGATGCCTCAACATACGGCGGACGCTTTGCACTGACTGCGCCTATTTGCAAGTCACCAATTCTCCAAGGTTTCCGGGGTTCATCCAGCTACCTGCTATGACTGGCTGTCTGGCTCTCAATAGATGCTCCCTTTAGCATATAGTGCTGCTGTGTTTAGCTCTGGTCTATGAGGACACGTGCAGTGTTGGTGGCCTTTGTGAAATTGCGGCTAGGTTCGCATCCAGGGGGGCGGGCGCAAAGCTGATAATCTATCAGAAAGTGCAATACTAGCCAATGGTCACGCCTCTCGCAAGGCGATTGGACGGGAGCAGCAGCGAGGTCCAGTGGAGGACATCGATGGACAGATAATGTCAGCGGCCCGCCTCAAACAACCCAACACAATAGCGACACACCGTTTTCTCGAGATTAGGCTCGTCAAGGTGGTGTGCATCTGACCAGTGGTGCTTCGAACCATGATGGCAGTTGGGTATGTACAAGCGTATCGAGGGGAATTCCACAGGTGGCCCGAGAACTGTGAGCTGACTGTCCTTGCAAGAGTCTTCAGTACTCAAGCGCTCGGGATCCTTGTCACGGGGACGGAGGAATGCTGTGATTTGCCTAAAACAGCATTTAGACCATATCGGCCCCATATCTACGACAATGATGAGTTGGGAGCGATACTGCGTGGACCACACGGGGCACGCAGGGTGTTTAGAGTCGAGAATACGGACCACGCAGTCATGAGGAAATTTAGAGGCAGAAAACTTGCGTGCGCTGGAGATGGCTGGTTGAGGCGTTCGTACACATGATTGCCGATGCCACGAAACTCACCCAAATCTATACGCCGTCTACAGCGCTGGTATGGACTCATCTGTCGTCGTCCAGAGGCCGACTTGATGGATGCATGAGGGCAGAAGCAAGGAGGAGAAGACAGCGGTGAGGAGAGGAGAGTGGCACAGGGGATACCTCGCATTCGAGTGTTAAGAATGAGATCTGAGAGACTGCGCTATGTCCGAACACAATCGAGATTCGGGCCCCGGTAATCTCGGCCCGGCATGAGGTCGCACTCGATCGATCGGGTGTCTCCACCTTTCTGGGAATTTGCCGCTGGCACTGGCGCCTCGATTCGGATTCACGTCGACGACTGCGCTCACCCCACGTTCTCTACACCCAATGCTTCAAATACAACCCACATCTCTCTACACCACATATCTTGAACTCTGTATAGTAAATTGGCCAGCCCCTCCAGAATCTTCATCTATTGTCGATTCTGCTTGTCTCAAGGTGTGCGCATAATAGAATCGTCTTTTTCCAGTAACCAAGTCACGATCCGAACACTCTCTGTGAAGACCCGCTGCTCGAACAGTTCAGGGTCTTCGAGTCCTCACCCACCTTGGATGCGTACACATTTAGGTGGCGGCGGTCTGGGAGATGGGTCTATGTTGCCATGGGGGATAATGCGCGGTGAGTGCCACATTATGCAGTATATGCTTTACTCTTGATCATCCAGCAGCTACGCTTTGCAAGTTGAGTGTTCATATCTTGAGTCCATGATACGCGTGTGTACTTGCCTTTTGCAGCTTGAGCTGGGTAAGTCGGTGCTCGTGTCGTTCTCGAATATGTCAAAGACTTGGGATTGTTTTGGGACTACCCTAGGACCATTGTAGACAAATTGAACTTTCAGACTGTTTCTTTTCCTGATACTTCAGATCTCTCTCTATCCACCACTCTACTGACTCGCGTATCTCTTGTGCAACACATGTCTAGACGAACGTCGTTGTCCAACAGAGTCTGCATATGAGAGGAAAGAG